AGGGGACTATGCAGAGATTTTTCCTGAAATTGCATTGTATATATTTTGCAAGTTGTAATTTGTCCTCGATGTATAGCAATCTTGCTGGTGCTGTAGTACTTGTTACCATTGGTGGTGCTTCGTTTTTCTGCACCTCCTGATTTAGGAAAAGGGAAATGAATTATGAAATCATATCGACTCTTGTTCTTTTCAGGTGTTATCCCTGCTTATTGCAATAATTCTGAGATCATTGGTTTCGGAACGGAGAACAGATGACGACATTGAGGAAGATTTTGGTTTTAGGGGTAGTGCGAGGGAACCACTTGTTGCTCCATATTCAAGCCAGACATCTCCTTCAATTAGAGGTGATTCCGATATCTGGAGTTCAAGGATGAGAGATAAGGTACGCATTTGATAATCGAAACAACCCCATGCCTGCAAACATTTTACAACAATTAAATGGCAATATCATCAATTAGTTCATTCTTTCCATTCAACTATACATCTCTCTTTACTCGGTGAATTAATTGCTCTAACGAGAATCTAAAAATCACGTTGCAGTATGGACTGAACAGCGGTGATGCAAAACACAGTTTATTGAACCAGAACCAATCCAATGATGTTAAGTAGCGAAGTGATTTTTGAGGACACGACAGATCTCTCGCAGCAAATTAATTTCGGTGTGTGTTCGTTTTCCTTATTGACCAGCATCTCGTGCCATTTAATTCTTTCTTTTCTTCTTCTTCTTCTTCCTTCCTGATTTAGCAAAGTTTGAGGTAAATATGTCTTCCAATCAATTTTTTTTTGTGTCCCCTAATTTCTTTATTGTATATTGGTAGAAAAATGGTGTGAAATGAGTTTGCACAATCTGTAACATAAAAAGAAGAAATTGGAGCTCTTGAGTGTTGTTGCTATATATACATGTATGTTTGCTGTAATTGTTCAGAACCCAAGGCTTTGGCTACTGATTATTCAAGACTTAATTGCAAAGACCCCCTTGTGTTGTTATGTCTGATTGCCAAAATAAAAATAAAAATAAAAATAAAAATTAAATAAATCCATGTGTTAGAAAATAGCAAATATTATATTCCAATTTTTGCCCCAATCATTTCATTACAAAGCAAATAAACAAATATTACAAAAAATATTAAAAAAAAAAATAGCAAACTCACTGTCACTGTCATATAGCTGTTTTCCTACAGACATGAGATCTCAGTCCCTAAAATCATTTGCATTTCAATGGGATTTTATCCCTACAAAATAAATAAATAAATAAATAAATAAAATTCAAAGACCAAATTATAAATAATTGAGGACTGGTACAACTTTTGGTTCACGAGATTTCAGGGTCTCTGCATTTGTAGTATTAAGATTGTAGCAAGTGTTTGTCACCTAGTCAAATTTTCAAAAGAGCACCTGCTGTTACTGCTCATTTAAAGAATAAAATATTTTTATTTTATTTTTTATATTTTTGCCTATGTCCTTTTCACAAGTTCGTTGTCTTCTTTACCCCGAAGAGGTGACAGCAGATTAAAGCGTATTTTCTTTTTCTTACACGCTTCTTCTGCCATTTTTATTTTCTTACCCAAATAAGTGACGCCAAGGAATTGTAATATATTTATTGAAAAAAATGTCAATCTCAAACCCATTCCAGAATTTGTCTGTAGAAAACACTATATTTAAAATTAAAAAAAATCTATACATTCATTCAAAGACCAGGAAACATGTGGGCAGCAGATATATTTAAATACTATGATACTATGATTATCATATCTGTATTTCATGGATTAAGTTGATACCATTCTTATGTTTTTTTCTGAGAAATACAAGTAATATACAAGATGCAACGATTTGCATCGCTGAAAAACTACGTACGGGACGACGAGACAACTGTCGAGTAAAAAAATACACGTTACAAGAATAAATAGAGTTGTGAATTAAATAAAAAGGATACAAGTTAATTTCAAAAATCGATCGTCCAACACTAGTCGAATTCAACCAAGGCTTCCTGCACAAGCTCTTCCAGCAACTTCCCTTCGATTTCCTTGCCTAAATTATCTATCTCCAATCTAAAATGACGATTCCACCCCTTCCCCACCACCTCCTTCCTCACCACCCTCTCCACCATCAGACAGGTGTCGTCTCCACAGTCGTCCACATCCTCCGAGAACCATGCGTTCATCAAAGCCCAAACCTCGTCCCCTATAGGTTTTTGTCCTGAATCTGATCCATACCCTGTAATCTCGATTAGTGCTGAATTTACGCAATCGAACACTAGCCTTTGAATTGATCTCCCCTGCCTTTGCTTGGCCTCGTGCAGTTTGTTCTCGTTTTGTAAGTCGACGTACTTGTCTCTTAGTGATGGGTCTAATGGGCTTTCGAGTGAGTGCCATTTTGCCAGGAAAGAGGTGGATTGCATCTCGCACTCGAGACCGGACACAGATAATAATGTCTTGAAAAAAAAGGACCATTCTTGATTTTCATTGGTTTCATCATGGGTGGTGGTTAGCGATTCCTCTGTCGGGTGTGATGTGGCGGTGTTTATACATGAATCATCCCATGATAGGGTGCGAGCTATGGATCCTATGGGTGGTGATTTGTCGATCAAATTTGATCCAATAGAATTATGTGGAGGATCAACTCCTGATACTGATGGTAGGAGAACGTAAATTAGCGATTTAAAGAAATACATAACGAAGATTATGTATGAGAGAAATTAAGGACGAGATGTACCGTGTTGGACCGGCTTGATACAATGTCGAAACAGTTTTTCTGTATGTTCATCCTCTCCGAAGGGTGAATCTAAGACGGATATTGGACTTGGCTGCTCCTGGTTTTCACCTGGGTTTCCAGATGCAATAGGTTTTGCCGCAGCAAATCCAGTCTGCAAAAAAATAAAAAATAGAATGTATAATATAGTTTCCACCTTTCCATTTTAGTGCAAAAATTAAACTAAAACTAGGAGAACTCCGAATGAAAATATGCATTCTATTATCGTATATCCCGGCGAAAATATTAACAAATTACCTCAGGAGATATCGTGCCCAGCTCGCCAATTAGATTCGAGGAAGATGAGTTACTTGATGGCTCCAGCAGACCTGATGAAGCATGGTCCGACCCTTTATCACCAAGACTTTCACTTCTATCACAGTGAATTTCTCCAGGACCAGAGTGAAATTCATCTTTGGTTCCGAATACAAGAGATTTATCTTTGCCAGTTTTTTTGTTCCTTGAAAAAAACAAACTTGAAACTTTACCTGTGAATGATAATTTCACACTTCTTGCCTTTACATCCTCCTTGGGAGATTCCGGTTTTTCATTATCTGCAACTGAGACATTAAGCCTATTTTCAATCTGGATGGAAGATACAGGAACAGACTTTGACCTCGTTAGATTTCTTGGTGAATAATCCACATTTCCTTCTTCTCTCGATTCACTGACTAAAAAAGAATTTAAATCCATGGGTTCTTTACTAGAACTTCCTTCCTCCTCAGGAGAGGCATCCTTCGTCTCAGAAAGAGCAAGCATTTCGCCTAATGTGCTGGAGCTTCTCCGAACCGGTTTTTGTTCTTGACAAATCCCATTAGATGCCATCATGGCCCATCTTTCAGAGAGACGTTTCTTTGCTTCTCTGCAAACTGATGACTCTGGAGAATACGACGCCCGAGTAAACGAGGATGATGAGTAAGGACTACCAAGTCTATTGACATAATCCCACGAGTGCCTAGATACAGGGGACATGACTTCCGAGTCACTGAAATTACCATCTGCATAATCAATTTCTGATTTATTAAATGAACTTTCGTCACCTACATAACCATTGGAGAATACAGAAGAAATCAAGGTTTCATCTCTGCGGTGCCTACCGAGTTTTTCATGAATTTGTTGTGTGATTGCTTTAGCCATTTCTCTTGATTGTCGATTCTCTTCATCTTCCACATCCCCAAAAAAATCTTCACTGTGCAGTATCTTTGGTAATTCTGACAGAAGGGAACCAACAGCATTAACAGCATGTGGTTTGCCATGGGTGGTTGGTTTTAGAACAACTATACGCGTTGGTTCAGGGGAACTTGCAGGAGGAGAGTTTCCTGGATGGATTTTATCTAACCCATTCAGCTGAAATAAGGAACCCTTTTTTATTTGTTTTCCATTTATTTTCTCCGGTCGAGAAATATCACTATCGTCTGCCATCTTTGAAGGTCTAAGAACAGTGATTCGCCTTGTCTCTCGAGGAGGAGGAACAGATTCCCGACCGTAAAGATGCTCGGAAAAAAATGAATCCGGTTCTTGCAGACACTCAAGAAACAAGTCTTTATTTGAGCTCAAAACTTCTAATGCATCATGGAATTGCTTAGACTGACGGAGTTTTTCATCCATAGACAGCCGTTTTGCTTCAATGAACTTCTGACGAACGAGAGCCATCTTTTTGTCAATTACAGTCTCCTCGTATATTCCCTTGTGTGGTGGTTTCTGTGATTGCTGCAAATTTCCATCAACATCTTTGTATTCTTTTGGATCTACATAGTGAAAGAATCCATTTTGCTGCTCCCAGTAACTCAAAGGAATCTCTGAATGGCTTCGAGGATGACCTCTAGAATGCCTTCTTTGTATTGCGGAGTCAGGTTCCTGTCGAGGAAGGGCATCAAGTCCCATTAGTTTGGCAACTAAATTAGGTGGGTCCCGTCTGGATTCGATTTCTTTGGACATCTCTTGGGCTATGAGCATTTTCATCGGTGTTCCATTTGATTTTCTGTTTGAGGAACTGCTCTTGAACTCCGATACAGTCTGCAGGCTCACGAAGGCACAATATAATTAGTATGGAAGTGACTCAACCAAATATATACAGACAAGCTTCTACATGCAGCTCTTAGATATACTAATAGTTCAAAGACTTCACCACTTTTTCTTCTGCCGAATCACCAGATAGACTCATCCTTGATACATCTGATCTGCTCCTTGAGAGTGAGGAACCTGTGTCATTTGACAATGTTGACATCATGCTCTACATATTAGCAATAACATGATAACGAAAAAATCATATGGCCCAGTCCTGAATAAAGAAATTTACGAGGAACAAGAGTGGAACCTATCACATGAAAAGCACCTTCACATGCCCAAAATCATGTAGGCCACTCAAATAACTACACCATGTACTCAATGTTATTCACATTTGCCAATGATTTAGTCCACACAACTCTTTACTAAAGAACAGTAGAAGATAAATTATCTACTAAATGAGACGAGCAGGAATGTAGACAATTTATAAGCCTAAATAACCTTCAAAAGCATGTTCCGGAAAGAAATTATGTGTTTAATGATATGAGATATCTGATATCTCGAAAGAAAAAACCCAAAGCACAGTACAAAAGAACAGAAAGAATAAGCACCATCTGCATGCGGTTTATCTTGGAGCAGCCTGTTTGCAGGCATCTCTGTATTCAACTCGAAGAGGTTCACCATTCTCCCCAAGCATCCTGCGTATTTTTTCTCTAAATTGCTGTTTTTGCCGTTGTGATGAATACCGTTCATGATAATACCTGGTAAGGAACATCCCATTGCATCAATTACCCAAATTAAAAAGGAAAGAAAAAATATCTGCTAACAAAATTGATGACCAGAACAAAGGTATAGCCATTGTCGAAGATGGAAACAGATAAACGTAACCTCCTCAATCCAGAGAAAGAATAAAATATTCATATTAATTAGAATGATGGGAGCAAAATCAATCCTCCATACCAAAAGAACTTGATGCTCCGGAGATATAATACAGATAATGGAGAAGGATAGGATAATGGAAGATGGCAACCCTGGATTTAAAAAGCCAAATCACTAGAGAACAAATTGCATAGAATATTGTGAAAAAAGGAAAAGGAATTAGTGCAGAAAGAATAACAACGACAACACTCCCCCTGCAAATGGCGATATATAGCATATTCCCATGAAATCTCACATCAAACAGTTACTACTCTCTACAAGTTATAGATTGAACTCTTACTTCCTTCAAAATTCTAATTAAACTTAAGATTCAAGGCACCAAACATGCTAACCCCCAATTTTAATTTCATATTATGCACACAAAACTAAAATAAAAATAAAAAAATTCAAAAACCATTATACTAAAAGCTGGCACCACAGCAGAATGAAAAAAATCCCCAAACAAAAAAAAGATAGAATCAGATTCGATATAATTAATTTACCTTTGAAAAACGAGATTGAGAGACTGTACAAAAGGGGGAACCCGACGAAACCGCAGAGGCTCCGCGAAAAAGAGAGTGCGCAGAAGAAATACGATTTCACCGGCAACCGTCAACAATGTCAGCAGCTAAACAATCCACAACTACTAATTTATCCACACGATGTTTTATTATACAGAAACAGTGACGAATAGCGCGCTCAGGTAAAAAAAAACTGCAGATACTAAAAAGCGTAGCATTTAATTACAATATTCGGATATTCCGGTGAGAATGTGGCCGGAGATTCGCCGGAATTTCAGGCAGCTGATATCCATGATTTTTTTTTTTTTTTGGCTCGAAGTGAGCTTTCGTTTTTTTTTCTCATCCACCGACTGTGTGTCGGACTCGACTCGCTTTTGTTTATTCTGATTTAATTATCACTTTCAGTTACGTAATGGTATCAGGTGCAAATATATATAGTATCTTATATATAAACGGAGACATTAATTAGAATATTAAATAATCTGGATTATATTAAGATATTTATGCCTATAGGTCCTTGTTCTTGCGGGTAATTGTTTATAAGTCCCTGTCCGTTTCATTCAATTATTAAATAATTGTTATATGTACCCCAAAGTTGGGACTAAAATGAGTCATACAATCATATTAGCTAATTCGTGAGATTTAATATTTGATTGTATTATTATTAAAGAATGGAAACTTATTTTATAGTTTTTCCTTTTTTGTGGTCAAATAATTTTCGCACAAAAGAAAATGCAAATTGCAAAAATGTTTATGATAGTTGACTTTTGTCCTCATATGGACCATAGGAGCTGACAACTGGAAAACTGTGCCAAAAAAGTAATATAATTTATGTGCAGGGGGGTTCCCATGCAACTGCGGTATAATGTTAGGTGCATTACAATTATCAAAATAAAACATTCTTAATCACTTCTAGTAAATACAAAATTCCTTCAAAACTAATAAGTTCGTATGAATAATTTTTTTTTTCTGGACCCGATTCGGTAAAAACATACTAAATCATTAGTTCGATAACTTAATATTTTACTAAATTAATCGAATATTGCTAATTCCGACTTTATATATTTATAGATGTTTAATTGTATATGTTTGTGCACGTATGAAAAGTGAAAATTGAGATAATCGAGAGAAGAAATAATAGCCGTTGAAATTGTGACATTTACGATGTAACACAAAGTAAGGATCCTATGGGGAAAATTAGGGAGCAAGAGACCCTACCCCCAACCACTATGGACTTAATCTGATAATAATAATAATAATAATAATAATAATAAAGGAGAACAAAATTATTTATAGAAATTGTAGGTGTAACGCACAAAATTGGAATAAAGGCCCAAAAATTCGGGTTGGGCTCGAATTGATTTATCTTATACTGAATTATTGCAGTTGGGCCATTATTTCATTGTGGTAGTCCAATGAGGCTCTAGTGCTTATACAACAAAGCCCTTCTTTTATTTTATTTTCCTTTTATTTTTCTAATTTATTCATACAAATAAATAATAATTGGGTGGAAGAAGGTTTGTGATTATAATATTAAAAATATTATGATCTCGAAATCTAGTTAAATGACAAAGTAGAGAGATTATTTTTGACACAAAAAATGAGTGGAGATGAGATTATCCAAAAGAATGGGATATGGTAGCCACGCGGCGGAGCCCCATTGGCTACGTCAACAGCGTTGCCATCTCACAACAATCCCAGTCCAGGAAAAAGATATCCCCTAACACAAAAATCTCCTCTCTTTCTTAAATTATCTCTTCTTTCTGCATCAAAATTAATACCGGTGTATAATCAAACCTACTCGAACAGCAAATTCTAGAGAGAGAAACAGAATATAAAAGTAGAGAGAGAGAATGGCAACCAACAGCATGGCATCTGCTGCATGTGGATTTGTGGTGGCGCCAAATGTCGCAACCACCACGACCACCACCAAGAGCAGCATGCTTTTCTTCTCTTCCAAGACCAACAGAAATTCAAGGCTTGTGGTCCGGGCCGAAGAGGCGGCGGCGCCAGCACCGGCCGCCGATGCACCGGCTGCCGATGCCCCTAAAGCCGCCAAGCCCAAGCCACCACCGGTTGGCCCCCCAAGAGGCTCAAAAGTCAGTATACAATATACATATATATAATTAATTAATTAATTGTTTTTGTTTTTTCATTAAAAAAATAAATGAATTTATTGACTCGAAATTGTGGAATATTATCAGGTAAGAATTCTGAGAAAGGAGTCGTACTGGTACAAGGGCGTTGGCTCAGTTGTTGCCGTTGATCAGGTGAGATCATAATTCACACACACACACACACGTGTGTATGTGTATAAATAATTTTTTTAATTTATTTTTAGGTGTATTAATTAATTAATGTGAAATATGCAGGATCCCAAGACAAGGTACCCAGTGGTGGTGAGGTTCAACAAAGTGAATTACGCAAATGTATCTACAAACAACTATGCATTGGATGAAGTTGAATTAGTCAAATGAGCCATTATTATATAATGATGCTCACTTCTCTGTATTTTCAACCTTTTTTACACACTTTAGTACGTGTGAATTCTGTATCATACATTTTGCAATCATTAATATATCAACCATGCTCATATTAATTTAGTGTATATGTATCTATTTTCAACCTCAAGTACAATCTGATTTAGGAGCTATTGCACGAAAACGGAATTTACCCAATGCAGATATGTGCACTATCAAGAATCACACAAAATTTCGTATATGTATAAATCCATAATGTCTGAAAAGGAGGTTTGCTAATTACAATAATCATTCCAAATCAGATTCAACACAATGGGGGAAAACAGAGTATTCATACATTATATATGTCGTATGTTTCGATGTGGGACTTTTGTGAAGCAGGGGATTAAACTCTTCCGTCCATGCCGTCAAGAAGACCAGACCACATCCCCTTGACAGGTGGCAGTTGCAGAATGAAAGCGTTCCACGGTGGATAACCTACACCACTGCCTCGAACACGCCCATCCATCCGCAGAGACAAATACCTTCATATATAACATTGTAATTTCTTCATCAAACTCGAGAAAAAAAAAAACAATTTAATTTTCAAACAACTAAAATAAAATAAACGAGCGATGACAGAAAAAATGGCTAAAAGAAAAAAAGAAGCACGAAATTCGATACTCACACTGGAGATTCAGGAGAGACGTTAGCCAGTTTCTTTTGTTCATCTATCCACCTGTTTTGTCGATTGTTTAAAAAACGATAGAAAATCAAAATCAAGAAAAGGAAAAAATGAATGTCGGACAAGTTTATGTTCGTCCTTTAAATTCCACATCACTGCAAGTAAACTTACTTGGTCCACTCAGCAGCATAAAGAGGAGCCAGCTGCCATAGCCGTTTCCTTTTAGCATTAATCTCTTTCGTCTCTTCCGTTTCTTCAAATTCAAAATTAGGTCTATTTCCATCGGTACAAAACGGTACAACAAGCACCCCTCTATCTAGAAGATCCCCGGAGAATTGTTCGCTGCGTTTGAACGACTCCTCGATGAAAGGAGTGGGACCCGCAAGGATGACGAGGCGAGCGATTCCCCTGAAAGCATTGAGTGGAAGAATTCTCTTCTCGTCTATACGAAGCTTGAGGTTCGAGAGATTTTCCTCTCTGGAAAGCCGAGCTACCTGAGCGTTTTTAGCATTGTTCTCCCTGTAATAGAGAAACGCGAAAAAAGATACGGCTCCTATATCTATGCCTAGACCGTTGACTATTTCCGGAACTTCAGCTGCTCTTGATGAATTCGATAGGGCAGCGATTAGCCGAGTGAGGGCTATGAATCCTCCGAGTGAACCGCTTGCTATAAAGGCGAGATAAAAGAACATTCGAACAGAGCGGAATGGAGTGAGGACTTCACTTCGTATTTTGGCTGTTGAACTGAATTAATGAAAATAAAACGACGATTACAAATGACTACGAGGCTTATTAAAACACAAACGTGGGTACAGAACATTTTGATTTGAGAGGAAAGAACGATACAGAATTAACATAACACTTATAGCAAACGATACAGAATTAGATCTTGGCGGATTCATCGTTTCGAGTTTGAGCGAGCCAATCAAAAGAGTTCCAGATGCAATACATGGATTTCTAACGAGAGTAATCAGTAAAACGAAGACGAGGCTCCTACTAACACAGGTTAAAGTCCTCTTTTCAGTTGAAAGTCAGGTTACAGAACAATCAAATTATACTACAATCAAACTAAATGTAACATAAGCAACCAATCATCTACTTCAAACCACAAAAATGAGAAGACTGAAAATGTAATAACAATCTCTTGAAGACAACTTAATTAGGGCAAAGACTTCCTTCAAATGAAGGCTTCCATTTTCAGTATGCATCAAATGCCACAAATGCACGGATGCATACTAATAGTACAGCACAATTATTTTCTGGCTCAGTGCTGAAAAACTACAAAAATGTAATCGGTAACACATAATTCGCAATTTGAAGTACACCCTAGCAACCGAAACAAAGGCAATTAAATAATGGATGCCAATTGTTTTTTTTTTCGTCAAATTATTGGCGATTTGGTTAGAAATTTGGGGGAAAATGAGGAGACCTGATTTCCGAAGAAGACGGCTCATTGGAGGCGGAGCAGATGACGGCGGATGATTCTCGACTCCGGTAGAGCCGTATGGAGTGTACGGAGGTGACGGCGAAGTTGTATGTGGTGATGTGGCGGGAGAAGCCGAGGCATTTAACAGTGGGATTGCAATTAGGGAAGTCAATTAAAACTGCGGCGAGCCGCGCCACCGCGGCCATGTATAGCACCGCCGAGCAACAGCAGCGGAGGAGATGGTGGTCGATTCAGTTGGGGGCGGGGGCAAAAAGTGTGAGCCTATATGTATTCTGAGGTTGTTATTTTCGGTTCTCCTGGATGATCTCTATGCAGCCACGGTACAATCTAATTAATTAATTTCCTCTTTTTGTTTTTTTTTTCCGCTTTATATATATATATTTTTTTTACATGTACATGTACAGAATTAGCAAGGGGAAATGGAAACGATAATAAATTTATGTGAAATGTCTGAAATGCTCCTTACTTTATATTATTATTACAACTCCACTTCTTTTCCACTTAAAAAAACTTTAATGCTTTTCAACAATATTTATTATTTATTTTCTTCAAAATGATTTATGCGGGTGTTTTCGGACAACATCAACTTTATATTCGAAATCACTGTAAGTCACAACGTTTGTTGAATTCTCATAATATCCATTCCTAATATCCATTGATAGTTTTATCTACAATTTGTTGAATTCTCATAATATCCATTCCTAATATCCATTGATAGTTTTATCTACAATTAGGAATGCAAAATCAAACGAATCGGACGGAAAAATATTCTTCCAAAATCGAAAATATTCAGCTTCGAAATCGATTGGAATTGAAGATCCCATTAGAAATTCCACTCAATAATGTACATTGATCAAATAGGCAATCAACCCAAAACCCATAACTCTCCAATGAAATCAACTGTTGTACTACATAATCAATGTCTACTTGAAGACAAGCATAATTTTCTCTCGGAACTAACTCTCTGTCTTTGTAGCTCCGGCTTGTGACAGCAAAGACTCGAGCTCCCCTTTCTGATATAGCTTTACGGTATCTGCACCACAAAGCAAGGAATAGAAAGTTTGAAACCGAATATATCGCGAAGGCCAAGGAATTCAAAAATGTCGTTTTACGACAATGTTTGTTTATGTGTCATCAAAATATCAAGTCAATACTCGAATTGTAAAATCGGATACAAAACGAAAGAAATACCTGTACAACCACCAATATGCTTGCCCCCTGTCGTGCAAAAAATAAAAACATTAGTTGTAGACAAATTATATTATGGCACCCTATTGATAGGCAAGAATCTCGTTTATGAATCAAATGAACGGATATTTTCACTTGCCGCAAAATAATGAAGTTAGTTCGGCCGTGAACGTAAGAATATGTGTCGGTTTTGGTTCTTTTCTCTGTAGCAGTGCACTTCATATAATAATTTAAAGGTGTCTCGTTTAATTATTACTTTCGATGAGAGCATAGTTCGTTTTACATGAAGAAAAAACAAAAAAATTATTTATGGTTCTTACCTATAAACACATTGGGAACAGTATGCTGTCCAGTGAGGCTCTCCAAAGTTTTCTGCAGTTGTGCTCCTTGCGAACCTGAAAAAAAACGAGAGAAATTTCATGTGAAATATCATACTCATTAGGCTCGTAAGTCGTACCCCGTTTCAACTTTTATAAATTTGATTCTTTTTAACTCCAGCATTCAACACATCGAAAATACGAGTAGTTAGTGATATGCTTCAATCTTCAAATTGAACAAGAAAAATAAAATCAATTCAAATGTAAATAATGGTTTCCGATTCTTGTTTGTTCTTTAATCATATTCTTTGTCGAACATCATACTGGTCAAAGCTTTACTTCGAAAATTCTCAACTATTCGAATAACATCATAAATGTCTTTCGTTTCTGGCAGCAATAAGTTTATCGAAATGGATGAATGCAAAATAAACAATATTGATCCAAGTGGAAACTCCTACTACAAAACCTAATTTTTTTTTCGATTGATATTCGTCGGTGATAAGTTTCCGACTACAGAGTAAACATCATTGTCAGACTGTAAGAACCAAATTTAAATGGACAAGGAATATAAAACCCTAAAAACACATCAAATCTACCAATTAGAACACATAGAACAAGAAAAGGGGATAAATTAATTGTACCTAGTTGGTCCAATTCAATAACAAGTGTTTCAGCACCAAGTCTCTTGAACAGAGATTTCACCTCCGAAGAATACCTAATTAAAAAAAAAAAAATTTAAATTTAAAAAAAAAAATCAGAAATCAATTCATATTAATAATTCAACCCAGTAACAGAAATCCCAAATTAAGATAAACAGGAAGATAAAAAACATGATTCCCCCAAAAAATCAACAATAAAAGAGTAGAAAAAATCGTGTTTTCGGATGAGCACTTACGAACACCAAGTTTTGGAGTAAACCACGACTGGGTTGTCAACAATGGTCTTCTTCACGGTGTCTTCCAAACCCGACCCGGATGAATCAGAGCCCATGGCCCGAATCTGACGGAGCCCCGCATTTTTTGAGGTGGTTCTGCAACCCGAAGAGTTGGTTCGGGTAAAATAAGTTGAAAATCGATTGTGCACACGAGAAAAGGATAGGATTTGGGTGCCGAGAGAAGACGAACGAGGCGAAATAGAAATGGAGTCGAAGCCTCTGATTGTGAAGCGAGATGTTGCCGCCATTGAAGCCATTACCGAGAAGAAACAAAGGGGGAAAAAATGTTTTCGCTCCTTTTTGCCTTATTTTCTTCTCCGGCCTGTTCCAATTATCGTTCAGCCGTTAATTATTGTTTGCCCCTTCAACTTTATACTTATTGTAATTTGTCCCCTTAAACAATAAACATATACATTTTTTACCCTTCTAATACTTGGGCTTTCCAAGCATATTGTATTAGAAGCCCACTTCTCATAAAAAAAAGTATTAGAAGCCAACTAATATTTGGGCTTTCCAAAAAGACTCTTAGGCCAATATATTATAAATATATTTACGTACACTTGTGTAATCTTTCTAATTTGGTTAATTGTATACAAAGTCAATTCAATTTGGTTAACTGTGATCATCATAAACTATTCATTTAAAGGTCACAAGAGAAATTGACAATTTGAACAACAACCAGCGGAGTCGTCCTTTCGACTACTTTGACTACCTCAGACACATCTAGTGCTTTCATCTGTTTTGTAGGTTAACGAGTATATGATTTTTTATAGGTTAACGAGCATATATTTTTTATAGGTTAACGAGCAGATCTCTATTCTTGCAAGTTCAAATACTGTTGGGTCGCCAATTCGATATTTGAACAACAACAAGTGGAGTCGTCCTTTCGACTACTTCAGACACATGGAAGCAATAACCTTTTATGTATGTTAACGAGCGGATCTCTTCTTTAGCGGACTCAAATACTTTTGGGTTGTCCAATCGACATTAGTCGTATTTTTCGACAACCAAGCTCTACTCTTGCGGGCTCAAATACTTTTATGTTGCTCAATCGACATTTGAGCAGCAACGAGTGGAGTCGTTCGTTCGACTGCCTCGAACAAAAGACAGTAATTTTCGCCATTCCATACTTTATTGGGCTCAAAGAATCTTGGATTGACCAATCGACATTTGCATTAACACCGTCAAACAATACAAAATAGACAACTCATTTTCCACGAGAGAACAAACAAAAAATTATATTGAAAAAAACCCTTAACACACACACACACACACTGACACAAACAAGAGACACAAGTAGTGGCATAGAATTAGAATGAGCAAAATAAAGTCCCATGTGGTAATCTGCAAACATAAGTTGGGGATGTCTGAAGAACAATATACATTTTCTATGATCCCATTATATATATATATATATATATATATATATATATATATATATATATATATACACACACACACAAACAGCCAAACTAGAAAAACACCCACACACACACACACATTGCAAAGTGTGGAAATTTGAGTCAACACCACTGACAACATATGTTCTCACATTTAAAGAGAGTGTGGATAGTTAAAAATAAAAATAAATAAAATACAATTGTATCAGATTTGATCATTTTCTTGATTTATGGCATCGTGGAGAACCATGTGAGTTGTTTTTTGTCTTGGGACAAATAAAAATGCAATTTAATTTCTTCACATTTTTTTTAATTTCCCCATGGAATAAAAACATGGATAATATATATGGACCACAAAGATGATGAAAACTGGAAACGTCGCGGTTGCGTTTCTGTTTTGCACTCTTTAAAACTACGTTACTCCGATAACAACAACAACAACAGCAGCAGCAGCAGCAGCAACAACAACAACGTTAATATATATGGTTTGTTGAATCGAGTACTGTTATCAAAACGAACGTACTTTATAAATCATAATTATGTGAGACCCGTGTGGAATTATATGTTCAAATTCATGCATATGAATAGCAATCATCACGGATATCTAACAAATCTGATGTGATATTTAGCTAATTACACTGATTTAGACAGTACAAAATGTGTGTCAATTTAATATTGTACATGTTTGACATTGATATAACATTATAGAGGGATCACATCAAACAGGTTTCGTGGTGTAGTTGGTTATCACGTCAGTCTAACACACTGAAGGTCTCCGGTTCGAGCCCGGGCGAAGCCATATATTATTTTCATTTTGATCAAATTTTATATTGTATTATCCTTTAACAAATTGTTAAACTAATAAAATTACATCAACAAGGTTTCGTGGTGTAGTTGGTTATCACGTCAGTCTAACACACTGAAGGTCTCCGGTTCGAGCCCGGGCGAAGCCAATAATCATTAAATATTTTTTCTGCCTCGTTATTTTAATATATTAATATAATATTGTTTAAAAATGCGATTAAAGTAATTCCTTTAATATAATTAAGCTAATTATTTTTTTCAAAAAAAAAATAAAAGATAGAAAAGGAGCTAATTATTTTGGGATTTCAATTTTATAAATATTTTGGGTGTATTGAAACTGAATTAAAACATTAATTATGATTAACAGGGAAGATTAAGTTTTAAGCTTATACTTAATATTATTGTCTACAGAAATTCCACGAGGCAGACCCTTGACATATGAATCTCATCCATGTGCTGCTCACCAGAAAATGTACCATTTCTTATTCATTTCATTTAGTCAAACAGTCACAAACACACAAAAATAAATTAAATTAAATTAAAAAATATATATATCTAAGAAAAGAATGTGCAGCCTGCCAACTTGAATGAAGGCTTATCCACAGCAAACAGATGAAATATGTTGCCCTCTCGATCAGATGCTACACCTGATAAAATACATCGGGTGATTCTGCACGATTGATCGATAAATACACTTAAATTAATATATTATTATGAATTAATAAACGAAGGCTTAAGGAGAACTCAATGAGGTTTTAGTATTTATTACAGTGAAAATGATGTGAAAGAGTATATAAACACCATAATTGACCATTTGGTGATAAAATGCTGGACCATTTTTCAGTTTGGAAAAATTTGGTGCTTTGATAGGGAAAGAAATTTAATAATGCATGGAGGTCGATTTTTTTTTTAAATAAATAAATATTTATATATAATAAGAAAAAAAAAATCAGCAAAATAATTACAAGATTAAACTGGACTCAATCAAAGTGTATTTATTACTATATGATAGGTCTTATTCAGTTGTTTGATGTGATTAAGTGATTAACAATTTTAGAAGAAAGAATGATTTGATGGGGGAGTTCCACAAATTTTGAATTATCATAATTAATTGTATCGATTAGCAAACTCGAAAACAACTCGTCTTAATTAGAGGGACATTCCCCCCTTCTTTAATGACTTGTTCTTATCAGTCGATTCCCCTCCGTTCGTTCGTTCACACACAAAAACACACACAACCATGTTGGCGCGTGCAGTCTGTAGCATAGATTGCTACACTTAACCGGCCTTTCGCGAGTCGAAAAAATGGAGGGAAAAAAAAGACTTCTTTTTTCATTGAATTTCTTTGATCAATTATACAAATTGTACATATCTAATTGAACAAGTCAGTAGTAATTAAAAATAAAAATAAAAAAATTAACAAAAAAAAGCCTCATCATCCTCTGTATACTAAAAACAAGATGCCCAAAGAACATTCCAAAACTTGGGCTTTTTCCTTTTTTCTTGGAGAGGGCTATGCTATCTGCTTTTTCTTTGTATAAATATCTCACATTTTTTTGTTTTCTCTATACAAGATTTGTTTTTTTGTTTTTTTTTTTACCGAAAGAATTTGGAAAGAATCGAAGCGGCCCCGGTTAATCAGAAGGTGGAAATGCATCTTCGATGAGTCGGGACTTTTTGCTTCTTCTGCTTCAAATCATCCTTCCAAACTTTGGCAATGTCTTGAGATATTTTTACGGAATCTGCAGATGCACCGGCTAGCCCTCTCCTCGTAAATCCGACTGCGTAAAGCCCGGCTTTTCCTTTCCATGCATTGGGGAATTCGGCTTTCGGCATTCCATTCTTGGAAAAGAATTCACTTTCCTGTAATAATAAATCAATAATAACATCAGCCTTCTATTCACAGATTAAGAATTAAAAACTGAATCTTGATGAAGAAGTGAACGTATTATTACCTGAAGCCAGTAAGGTACATTGCTGCGATAGCCGGTGGCTAAAACGACGGAGTCGATTTCGAGGTTTTCGCCGTTTGTGAGTTCGACCGAGCCGCATGAGAATTTCTTGATTCCTGGTACTACTTGAATTTCTTTTGATCGGATTCTTTCAAGTGTTCCGATGTCTAGAACAGGGGTTTTTCCGTGTCGGTTCTTGAGCTCCAACGGGCCTACGGTGGGCCGTTTAAGCCCGTATTTCTCGATGTTTCCGAGAATCATCCATGCGAAGATTAGCATCATTTTGTCCACAAGCCATAGTGGCAGCCATTTCAGCATAAACATTGCTAGCTCGAAAGTTGACTTGCCAAATATTTCTCTTGGCAAAACATGAACCTGTAAATAACAGAGTATGGAAAATTCTGTTTAGAACTCAAATTCTGATTAAACAAAATTAATGAAATAAATGTTGAATTAATCAAATTAATTAAATTAATTATTGTTGTTGTAAGTACTTACCGAGCTACGAACAACCATGGAGGGTTTAGCATCGTGGTTGCAGAGATCGAGAGAGACTTCCATGCCGGAATTACCACATCCGACGACGAGGACTTTCTTCCCCCTGTAATTCTCGCCGGACTTGTAATCGCAGGCGTGGATCACTTCTCCGGCGAAGTCCTTCAGCCCGTCGATTTCGGGGACGACGCGCTCGGCATTTTCGCCGGTGGCGACCACCAGCATCTGGCAGATGTACTCGACCTCCTCGGCGGCGGCGGCGCCGCCGGAGGAGGTGGTCTTCACCCTCCACAAGCGGCAGGGCTCGTCGTACTTGGCGGAGACGACGGACTCGTTGAAGTGAGGGGCGATGTCGAAGTTGGCGGCGTAGGACTCAAGGTATTCGACGAATTGCCTCTTAGAAGGGTACTCTGGGTAGTGTTCCGGGAAGGGGAAACCGGGAAGCTGGCAGAACTTCTTCGGCAGGTGGAGCTTCAGGCGGTCGTAGGTACGCTTCTGCCACAGTGAAGCAATGCAATCGGCTCTCTCGAGGATGACGAACGGCACGCCTTGGTCTTTGAGTCCGGCGGCGACGGCCAGGCCGGAAGGGCCGGCTCCGACGATGACGGGGCCATTCACCCAAACGCATCTCCGGGAGAACATATCGGAATCTGTGAAACTAAACATTTTTTGAATGATTTTTCTTTTGGTTTTGGTGATTGAGAATGATTTTTGTGTAAGTTGTAGAGAGAGAGATGTTTTAGAGAGAGAGAGATGTTTGAGTATGTGTTGGAATGAAGGAAGAAGAAAGAGGTGGAGGGGGTTATATAGAGGAGCTCTCTGCCCATAACTGCTGAAAGAAAGATGCATGTGATTTGAAGGTGGGGGTGGAAGTGGGGGGTGGGGGTTTAATTACTTTAGTGTGGGCCCCACTCTCAAATCATAAGCCAAAGTCTTCCTTGTATTATTTTATTTTATTTTTTGGGATTCTTCATTCTTCAATCTATTTATTTTTTTCTTTTTTAATTTGGTGTATATTAAATTGTATTTTAGATATAAATATCAAATGATTTATCTAATCAAGAATTTAAGATTTTAGATATAGTGGTCATTTAATCTAATTCATACCAAATGAAAATGTCATATCTAAATGGCTCAAAATATATTACACACAGAATCTAACGGGCGTATTTGAGATATTGTAGGATTTCAGACACTGCCAATTGATCATATTTTTACAGTGCATGCGTCATATACAAGTGCACGCGGCATTTGATTATGGGTTCGACGTGGATAATTGCTGTCAAACTCAGTATAACGGATATGAATACCATATTATTTAGCTCACTAAAAGTTTAAATTGTTATGAAAATAGTGGGGTTAGCTTATATTTTTCTAGATTACTTTTCCATATTGTAGCTTTTGGAGAATTTAAATGGTTTTATTTAGTTGTTGAGCCAGAAAGATGATTCTTATACTTAGGCGGCACATTGATTTTCTTTTTGTATATTCTTTCTTTTTTATCAATAATTAACAACTTAACTAATATACCAAAAGTGGGAGTTGATTCTCTTAAAATTATGAGTATATATATATGTCAATCATCACTTATTTTATGATTTTAAAAAGTTGTACCACAAAATGTATTTTATCACACAACTTTATTTTAATTTCTTACTTTTCATGATAGTGTAATTATATTTCAATAAAATGTTTTATTTTCTCTTTCCCCTTCAAAATTAATAATAAACTTATGCAATTAACTTATGAATCAAACATTTGACTAGCTGGTCAAGCTACAAGACAAAGAACATAAAGGACATCGAAAAATTTCAAATTCAAGTCGTTGAACACTAATTGAATCAGAATAAATACGTCGAAAGTTACACTTTATGTTGCAAACAAATCAACTTATAAACTAAATGCTTAAGCGAATTCCTTACAAAAAATTATAAATATCCCAAAATTTAAAAAAAAACAAAAAAAACAATTAGTATAAAGGATTAAGGAGAATTAGGGAAGAAATGAATGTTGTTAGTGTCATGATCAAGTTGATTCAGGAGGGCCCACAAGAAATCCAAGAAGGAAAAATCTGATGAAGGTGGAGCTTACCTGGCAATAGTGAAAAGGGTGAGTAGGAAGAGCACGTGGAGTGGAAGCACCAAAATAGGAGTGGCGATAAACACCATCCACCACTTATTGGACCCCCCACATTGCCGATTGTGACTAACTCCGTTTTGTGCACACGGATCCCCTTACCGCCAACCCACGCTTCACATTACGTGGTCACATCCCACATTTTTTATTTATTATTTATAAATTCAATTTATTCTTTAATAAATGGATAAGAAGAATTTCTTGGAAAAATATCATCGGTGTTGCATTTAAATTATTTAAGTAATACAATTTGCATTAATAAATTACTAGTTAGCTAGTTAAATTTTGTGGCCGTAAACTAGCCACAAAGTGTAAACCTAAAAAGTTACCCCCAACAGTACAATAGTGGAATATATATTATGGTAAAAATATATATATAATAATGCAATAATAATAAATTAATATCTAAGTTGACACGCGTCGTCATGACAAGAAAAGTATATATATAAATTATTTTCAAGATTCTAATATCATGCTTTTGGTGATTATTAATATGTTAATAATCACTTTGGTAACTAGGGTTTAGCTCAGAAACTTTAGTTGTGTACGTTAATGATAGGTTGTTCAGCTAATTAACTAATAATTAATATGATCATTTTGATTAATTTTAATTAATATATACAAATATAGGGTTTGAGAAAATAAAAAAAAAAAGATGATTGCAGAAGGATATATGATGCTCCCCTAGCCACTTGGAGTTTTTCAAGACTAGTGTAAAATTCATTGGAAGAAGAGAGGGATGCATGTGAATCAAACTTTATTTTTCATCCACTTCTCTTCTTTTCATGAATGAATTCATATATATATATATATATATATTATTACTATATATATTAAATTTACTAAAATTAAAGTTAATTAGTTTGCAACACTCTTTTCTTGAAACTCAAACACACACATGCATGCATACACACTCAAACAAATTAAGAGAGCTTTTTTATATCCGCCCATGCAGGATTTTGATAAGGATGTGAGTTGTATGATTGTATATATATTCTTTATATATATACACAGTCATATATATATATATATATATATATATGTATGTATAAAATGTATGTATATATAGGTTTTGCTTTCCACCACCCTTTTGGCTGGTTGCTCCACCACAGCCAGGTTGTGAGCTCTTCTGGAGCTTTCTACTTTTGGATTATAAATTGGATTTTATTTTTTTTTAAATATATTTAAATCTAATATAATAATATTGACCACCTTACTTTATATTGTGGCAATTATTAATAAGAATTATATTAATATATATAGCTAGGGTTTTTCACCGCATATATATATATATACTTTTTTCTGTTGGCCGGCTGTACTTAGCATGAGAAGAAAGATTAAACTAAGCAAAAGGTTTCTGATAATATCTATAAATCTATAATTATGAGTTGCACTCACGCGTGGTGTATACCTAAAGTTTCTTATTAATTATTGTATTAATTAATATATTGTTGAAATTATTTAATACAGTACTACTATATATAATTAATTAATTAACAGGTCTTCTTCGTCGAAGCTTATTAGCTTACCTTTAATTTTGTGGCTTATTAGCAGATACTACGAATCAAGAGCTTTCAAGTTTTAATGATTTAATTTTGGAGTTAATTTTCAAGTAAAACTTTAATAATTACTAATGATTTAATATGCTTCAAGTTCGAATTTCCAAAAAAATAATTTAGCTCAAGCTTGTAGAATATTACTCGAGCTCTAGTTATTCAGATCATGCATTTGGCTCGGCTCGAGATCGACTAATTAAAGCTTGATCTTGCTAAGGTTGAATTGAGGATATTTAATTAATACAACATATTAAATTAATAACAAGCTGAAGTACGTAATTCTTTTTTGGCAAATGATTTTATTTTTTATTTTTTTGGTATTAAAATCCCGGAAAGAAACTTCCTAGAAGTGACGTTGTGGGAATGTTTGGACGCAGGCACACCCTTATAATTATATATTCTCATTCCACAATTCAAATTATTACATTTGTTTTTTCATTTAATAATAATTTCCAATCATATGTTGGTGTTGCCACTTAATTATTTTTAATTTCTTAGTCCTTTAATGGGGCACCTCAAATCATGGTCTTCTGACGTGGCTTACTGGTTATGGATACATCCATGTCAACCTAGAGGGAATATATATAAAGTTTAATTTTGTTTTTTAAATTAATACAGTCGAGATTAGGAAAATTTTATTGATTCAGTTCTATATTAAATTATCGAGATAATAATTTAGTATGTTCTCATCAGATTTGAACCAGAAAAAATTATTATTTAAACGAGGTTATTAATTTATCGAACTAGATTCTACTGTATATATAATATATCCTCTACAAATTAAAGTTGGGAGATCGTTGTAATTATTTCGAAGAATATATTGTAGACTAATTAATTTATGGAGTTAGGTGTTCAATTAAATGATTGTAAGAGAAGGACCCTACGAGATTCCAAAAGCTTTATGTACAATGATTTGGAACTCCTCTCACACACAATTTAGACCACATGAATATATGTCATTGCAAAAATATTATTATATTTTGAATAATATATATAGTTCCATAAATTCCAACTTTTGCTTGTTTTCAATCGATTTGGTTATCACTCTTAATTAGTTACTTCAAAAATAATTAATGACAGGCCTATTTTAGTATTTACTATATTATTTTGCCGTAATATATATATATATATATATATATATATATATATATATATATATATATATATATATATATATTGAGTTTCTGAATAGGTGCGCAACCACAAAAAAGAAATATAATATGGGACGGAGAGAATATATCATTTTTAGAGAAATTAATTTACATTGAGTTTTTGGAGTATTAATATTTATTTTATACATACATATATATATTAATGAATTGTATTAAATGTAATGGTAGTTTTATGGTGATAATTACGCCACATGCATATGCAAAGCTTTGAAAGAAACAAAGCATTAGCTAATAATTAGCGGGAAAATCTTAGGAAATCTAACCTGTTACATTCGAAAATTTAGAAAAATATTTTTGTTAGATCCTTAGTATTTAATTAAAGGTTCTCTTCCATTATCTAAGTGTGACTCACTAAATCTTTCAATATCATATTAAATAATTTTAAATAAATTATATATCATGAAAGAGTATGTTTTCTTAATTAGTACTACTGGTTTTGAGTCTTTTGACCATTTTTATTGTTATTAGTGGAACAACTCCCTAGCTAATTACTATTCTTCTATTGAATTATTTTTTGGTGTTATGTGGACCACTTTTCTCTAAATTAAACCAATATTGAAGATTTTATTCACCAATCATGCCTAGAAAATGTTCAATTATTCTTGTATACATATAATCTAGGTGTACAAATTTCGTAAAACTAATAGTAATGTTAATTTTGTTATTTATTTACATTTCAAAATTTTCTCGAAATTAATTAAATTTAATGCACTAGCAAAGAACTCAAAGAGAACTAGAAGAAAAGAAAATAAAAATATTTATCTTCTGAATCAGCATTGAAGATCCCAAATTCTTGTCAAAGCCACATGGCGGAGGAACATGAACCAATTTATTATAACAAATTTAGTTCAATAATAGAGATCTA